ATCATCCAGTCATCCAGTCTAGGTCACGTGGGTTCCCACAAGCTTTTTGAAACTCTCTTGTATCTATCACACAACTCTTGCCAATTTAGCTTTTTATAGGTGTACACCTCATTGCCAACTGTTGGATTAATCACCAGCCTCATCCTTAATCAACACTGCATTTTCCTATCTGCTGACTCTTCCTTCTGCCCTCCCGCATCCCTGGTAACCACTAATAAACTTTGTTTCTGTACATTTGCCTTTTCTTTTTATGTAAGTGAGGTCACACGATAGTTGTCCTTTTGTGATTAATATAGTATTACGTCATTATACTTTTTTTGTTTTTTTTTGTATAAATTATGGAATGACTAAATAGCCAGAATAGTTACATGGGTTTATTTTTTAAAAAGCTTTGGCAATAATATGATGTTCCTATTTAAACAGTGGCAGACTGAGTACAGACTTCACCCAGTGGACTGACAATTTAAGGAGCCAAATAGCTCCTTAAATGCTATTTAAACACTCTATAAATGCTGTCTGAGCTTGGTGGGGAAGAGGAAATGCTAGAATCTTTGGCTGATTGGTCACAGCTTTGGGATAAAACACCAAATGACAAGGCTGGTATTGATTTTAAGAAGGCCCACCTAGCTCTGTTTCTTAAAAACATTTAACTCACATCAAATTTCTTTGAGTTACAGTGAAGGCTTCATTGCATCAGACCCGTTTCCAAGGTTTGCTTCCAGGAGAGCCGTGCAGAAATGTTAGCTAGCCTCTGGGTCAGCAAAGCCCCCATGTCACCAGTGGAAGGTTAATATTTTATTTTAATCCTTGGGTGTTCAGTGTAACATACTTTCTTTTCTTCAGATGATCTGTCTCTCATCTTTTTGCTTGGATGGATTTTGGATTTATATAGAAAGGCCCACAAAAGAAATTTTTAAAAAGTTTTTATTGAGTGAAGATTTACAGAAAAGATCATCAGTTTTACTTTCAACAAATCTTACATTTTGTTTCATCTCAATGATTGCAGTCTACAGATAGTGTTTCATATAAATGTTATATAATTGTTTTTGTGGTTAATCTATGAAATTGTAAAGCTTATAATAGTTTATATCAAAACCGTTTTAATTTTTTTCTTTCTTTTTTAAGCAAGCAGGTTTATTTCTTAAGGTTCAAATTTTACGTTTACCCGAAGTGATACTTACTTTTTCTTAGAATAAATACTATTTAATATTTTATATGCAAGCAGTAGCTATAATATACTGCTTTTGTCCCTTGGACTTGACAAATATGCATATTTTGTCAAAGAGAATGCCCTTGTGGTACAGCTGTTTCAGTTAGAACATTTTGGCATGTTATAAAGGGGTTTATAGTACCATTTGGGAGCCCTGGTAGCATAGTGGGGGTTGCACGTTGGGCTGCTAACCACAGGATCAGCAATTGCTCTGTGTGAGAAAGATGAGGCTTTCTGCTCCTTTGAAGATATACAGCCTCGGAAACCCTATACAGGGTGCTCTGAGTCGGAACTGACTCCATGGTGCACCTCCACTATCACTAGGTTGTGGGAATTAAAATTTTGTGTCAGCGTGACTGTCCAGGATTCTCAGGGTTAGCAGTTAGGATACAGTAATCCCCCATGATGGGATGTATGAACAGCCAATCATTTGAAAGGAATTTTCCTCAGGGGTGTGGCTTGCATGATTTTTGATCTTATAAGAGAGAGAAGTGAGCAAGAGAGAGAGAGCCCTACTACCACCAAGCAACGTTGGGCCTGTTGTTGTTGTTGGTAAGTGCCATTGAGTTGTTTACAACCCATAGTGACAGCCCACAGCACCACACCAGGACTCCATGTTGGGCCTACAGATGCTAAAAGGACACCAGGACCTTTTTTCAAGAGCCAGTGTTCTGATTTCAGACTTCCTGCTTTCTAAACTGTGAGAAAATAAATTTATGTTTGCTAAAGCCACTCATTTGTGATATTTCTGTTGTAGCGGCAGTAAATAACTAAGACACATATCCCATAATATTTTACATGGCCAGGATTTCTCAGCATAGCCTCATTGTCTTTCTATGAAAGTTTGTAGCCACATATTTTTAATTTTCCTAAGTGGAAGGACATCTCACCTGATTCTGCCTGATTCCTTTGCATCCAGTTTTTCTTTGCAGTTTGATGCTAGTGGTTATATTTCTCTTTTCTCATGTATTCACATGAGAAATATTTACCTAGTACCTTGTACCTGCATAATAGGACATGGACTCAATTGTATTTTTTTTTTTTTTTCCTTGCAAATAACACATCCAAATAAATAATGCACTGCACACAAACCCAAAACGTGCTTAGGAAATTAATGAAAGGTTGCGTGGTTTTCAGAAAACATAAGACACATTTTGTCTATAAAAAGGCAATAGTAGTATAACTGTTAGCTGTAGTATTGTAATCCGGGACTGTGATCACTTGGCTACTAAACTAACATTGTTGTAGTTTGAAAAAAGACAAAGAAAAACCCCCAGAAAAAGTCTCCATAAAGTATTTGAATTATGGCCAAGTTGAAAAGAAAAATTACCTGAGCAGATCCTAGCAGATCACAGCAGATCCTAGACTGCACACACAGGACAATTGTTTTGTGTGCTTGTAAAAAAACAAACTTTCGGCACCAGTTCTCCTGGAAGTTAACTTTAAGTGTCAACGAGCCATAAAGGTCAACTTTGTCTATATAAACATTATCTCCTGTTCATAATTGCGTAAATTTGGATTCAGGGAGATCCAGCATTTGAATTGCATCTATTGAAACAGTGAGCTTCCTGAGCAGTAAGGCCAAACTCCATTATTTTTAGGTCTTCCATTAGCTGTGTTGTTGTTGGGTTCCATAATTAGGTTCTGACTCATAGCGACCCTCGATAGGATTGTTGAAGCTGTAAATCTTTGCAGGCGCAGAAAGCCTCATCTTTCTCCCTCGGAGTGACCTTGTGGCTAGCAGTCACGTGCTTATCCTACAGCACAACCAGCGCTCCTTCTATTAGTTGTTGTTGTTAAGTGCCATCTAGTTGGTTTGGACTCATAGTGGCCCTGTACTTAAAGTTTTTGTCAGTTTCATGTCAACCCAGTGTGATGACTCAGGTGCACCTGATCCAAACCACGGTATTTTCAATAATCTCTTAACATATGTGCAAGTTGGGCAGTGAACAAGGAAGACTGTAGAAAAACTGTTGCATTTGAGTTTGGGTGTTGGAGAAGTATATCAAAAGTACCATGGACTGCCAGAAGAACAAACAAGTCTGTGTTGGAAGAAGTACAGCCAGAATGCTCTTTAGAAGCCAGGATGGTGAGGCTTAGTATCTCATATTTCAGACATATTATCAGAAAAACATCATGCTTGGTAAAAGCGAAAAAGAGGAAGACCCCCAAGGAGATGGATTGGCTCAGCGGTAGCAGCAGTGGACACAGCATAACGATTGTGAGGATGGTGCAGGACCAAGCCCTGGGTCCTTGTGTTGTTCATAGGGTCACTATGAGTTGAAACGGACTCGATGGCGCCAAACAACAGTAGGGTTTCCAAGGAGGAGCTGGTGACTTTGAATGGCATATCTTGTGCTTAGCAGTTCAGTGCTTATCCTACTAGTGGTAGGGTTTGTTAAAATAGTTCCGTGTTTGAAATGTCTGAAAGTCTGAAATTGCCTGCAAAGAGAGACTAAATTAGCCCCTATGTGTTTGGGTCCTTGAGTGGTGCAGACAGTTTGTGCTTGACTACTAACTTAAAGGTTCAAACCTAGCCAGCAGCACTGCGGGAGAAAGGTCCAGCAATCTGCTTCTATAAAGATGACAGTCAAGAAACCCTATGGTGCACTCATCTCTGTAATGCTTGAGGGCACCCACCACGAGTTGCAATTGACAGAACAGCAATGTGTTTGGTTCTTGATAAGTGTTTGCAGATTCTATCATTGTAATGCTCAGCAGCCCTCTGAAATTTATAGATAATGAAAACTTTGTTATCTGCTACCAGAACAAAAGTACTGATTTTAATCTTCCCAATGCCAACTCTCAGATATAGTCATTATGTAGGGAACTGGGGAGCCAACTGACTTATTCTTATCAAGACTTTGGGGTCTTGGTACGGCACTGTAGGCTAAGCACTGGATTGCTAACTGCAAGGCCAACAGTTCAAATCCACTAGCTATTCCTCGGAAATCCAATATAAGGTTGTCCTTCGAAACCCTGTACAGAGTCGCTATTGAGTCAGAACTGACTCAACAACATTTAACAATAACAGCAACTACAATTTGGTAAGCATTTGATGGATTGCTAAGCATGAATTTGGCTTACTTGACATTTGAAATATAAAAGAAATTCTGAACTTGACAATGATACTTTTTTGACCTTTTCAGGCAAACCCTGGAGATTAAATAAAAAACAACAGAAAAATAAATTGAATATAATTACAAGGAAAAGTTTGTCTAGAACGTGCAGGACAATACATATGTTTCTGGAATCATGATGGTTTGAATTTAATTTTGTTTTAATTTGGGTTGCTCCCTGCTCGTTGCTTTTAATCCTTTTGTAGGGTCAAGGTTTTACCTCTTCATTCCCCATAGTATTCCTTCCCTATGAACTTGGATTTCCCAGGCTGGTGCTGTGGCCTTTTAAAATCCACTGTGTGCAGCTTTGAGCTACTTTCATAATCCCATAGTGTGTTGGCAAATGTTAAGTAACCATCATTTGCCATAGAGTCAAATCTGACTCTAGGCATCCCCTTGAGTGTGAGAATGTTGTTGTT